GGTGTCTAAACCCCCGAAATGCCCCCCAGCCAATGGCCAACACACCCAAGAATGGCTTCAGGACATCAGTGTCCTCCAGCCATTGGCCAACAGGAAGAGCACCCAGAGGTGGCTTCAGGCCACCAACTCTTCCCAGTGGTTTCAGGCCACCTAGGGGAGCACCTGGGGGAAGCTTCAGGCCACCAAAGCTCCCCAGTGATTGGCCAACATGGGGGTCACTCAAGGGTGGCTTCAGGCCACCAATGTCCTCCAACCATTGGCCAACAAAAAGAGCACCCAGCCAAGCTGAAGGAGCTCCAGGCCACCAGCCCACTCCAGTGCAAACCAGTAGGCTCTAGAAATCCCCAACCTGGTGACAACCCCACCCTTGTCTTCTTCAAAGGTGCAGGTTCCTTGAGCACCTTGGCTGACGGTGACATTTCTGCCCCCCACCCCTCCCCCAGGAGAAGACCCCAGGGGCTGGTGCCCCCCTTGGAAGATGCTCCCACCCTTTTTGATCAGCTCGATGGCCTTGGCTCTCTGGTCCACCCCGAAGCTCTCCCACTGCTGGGTGCTGTCCAAGTAGTGGGTGGCAATGACCGTGGGGGTCATCCCGATCATGTTCTGCTCCCCACAACCCGCCGGGGTGGTGATCAGGTGCTTCAGCTTCTCCCCATCGATGGCCTTCTCCACCATGATGGACATGGGGTTGCCTGGAGCAGAAGAAGAGGAGATGCCAAGCTTGGAGAGTGTGTGTGTGTGTGTCACCCCTCCCAGCTTGTCCCCAGGGGTGTCCCCTCCCCTGCTGTCACCTTGGATGCTGACTTTGGTCTCCGACTCGGTGTTGGGGACAATGTCAGAGAGGTTGGCTGCCCTCACCTTCTCCTCCTGCACACCATCTGTGGGGCATGATGGAGATGGGTGACCCCAAATCCCTCATGTCCCTTGTCCCCTGAGGTGACCCAGCCCTGCCACACATCTGCACCGGGATGTCCCTTGTCCCTCAGGATGATCCAGAGACACATCAGGATGTCCCTTGTCTCCCCCAAGATGCCCCAGCTCCAAGCAGGATGTCCCTTGTCCCCAGGGTGCCCCAGCTCCAAGCAGGATGTCCCTTGTCCCC